CTCACCCTGACGCCCCCCTCCTCCTCTCCCACGCAGGCCGGGGGCTGAAGTCCCACGCCTACATCCACAGCGTCCAGTTCAGCCACCATGTCTTCCTCAACCTGCACACCCTCAAGTTCTACTGCCTGCCCGACAACTATGAGATCATCGACTCCTCGCTGGAGGACATCACGGTGCGCGGGGGGGTGCCAAACTGCCCTGAGGGGGTCCCAAACCACCCTGGGGGCGTCCAAACCACCCCGGGGGGGCTCAGGTTCGCGTCCTCCCCTTTTTCTGACGCTGTTTCTGCCCGCAGTACGTGCTGAAGCCAACCTTCACGGCGCAGCAGATCGCCAACCTGGACAAGCAGGCCAAGCTCTCGCGCGCCTACGACGGCACCACGTACCTGCCTGGCATCGTGGGGCTCAACAACATCAAAGCCAACGACTACGCCAACGCTGTCCTCCAGGTACTGCTCCAGGTGAAAACACCCCAAAAAAGTCCATCCTGGCCTTGGTAACGTGTTTGCCATCTCTTCCCGCAGGCTTTATCCAATGTCCCGCCGCTGAGGAATTATTTTTTGGAGGAGGAGAACTATAAGAGCATCCAGCGCCCACCTGGGGACATCATGTTCCTGCTAGTGCAGAGATTCGGGGAGCTGATGCGGAAGCTGTGGAACCCCCGAAACTTCAAAGCCCACGTCTCGCCCCACGAGATGCTGCAGGCCGTGGTCCTCTGCAGCAAGAAGAACTTCCAGATCACCAAGCAAGGTGGGGAGGAGTGGGGTAGGATGGTGGGGACAGGGGGGGTGCTGATTCCACGAAAGCCTGGATAAAATCAATCGCTCTCTAAGGCTTCTCCTGGGTTTTAGAAGGCAGCTGTTCTTTATGACACACAGGGGGTACCCAGGGTCATTCCTATGCAGCACTGCAGGCTTGGGGATGAGTGGCGGGAAAGGACCTGGGGTGTTGGTGGCAGCAGATCCCACGAGCCAGCAATGTGCCCTTGAGCCAAGAAGGCCAACGCCATCCTGGGCTGGATGAGAAGGGGTGGTTGTAGGGCAGAGAGGTTCTCCTGCCCCTCTGCTCTGCCCTGCTCACACCACAGCTGCAATCTTGTGTCCAGCTCTGGGCCCTCAGCTCCAGAAGGACAGGAACTGCTTGAAAGAGTCCAGCAGGGCCACCAAGTGATGGAGGGAGTGGAGCATCTCCTGCTGAGGAGCGGCTGAGGGAGCTGGGGCTCTGGAGCTTGGAGCAGAGGAGACTGAGGGGTGCCCTCATTCCTGGGATCCATTTGGAAAGGGCAGTGTCAGGAGGAAGGAGCCAGGCTCTGCTCTGGGATGGCCATGCCAGGACAAGGGCAATGGGTGCAGCTGGAGCACAGGAGGTTGATGTGAACACGAGGAAAAGCTTTTTCCCTGTGAGGGCACAGAGCATGGCCCAGGCTGTGGAGAGGTTGTGGAGTCTCCTTGTGTGGAGACACCCAAAGCCCTGGCCGTGTTCCTGGGTGACTGCTCTGGTGATCCTGCTCTGGGGTTGGGCTGGGGCAGCTCCGGAGGGCCCTGACAACTCCTGTGGTTCTGTGTGTGACTCCAATTCCTCGTTACAAAGTGATTGTTTATGTGTTACTTGTTCATACATATTCACAAGATGGCTGAGAACTCATTAATATGAAGCAGGGATTCCTCCAAAAATCATTAGCATACAACCCCTCCTATCTGGGCATGTGCCCTACAACCTCTGGGGGTCTTTGGGGGTCGTGGGGATGAAGGCTCACAGTCTTCATCACTGTAAGCTTTTCACCTTTCTCCCAGAAGCAGATGTATTTTGTAACTCATTCTGCTAATTGGGCATTACCAGCGCTATTTCTCTGAACATCTTTGGCTACACAAACACAGGATACCTGGACATTCCTAGACAGGATTGGTAGGACAGACAAAGGGGTTTCTGTTCAGTTGGGGGATGCCATTTATCTTCACAGAATGTGCTCTTGCTTTCTGCTTATCTGTAACTCCTGAATTGCATGAAGGTCCTAACAAGCAGCAACTTCAACCCCTTCTCAGTGCTGAATTCCCCTCCCCAATTCTGATGTCCTCTCTGTTTTTAGGGGACGGGGTGGATTTCCTCTCCTGGTTCCTCAACGCGCTCCACTCGGCCCTGGGCGGCACCAAGAAGAAGAAGAAGAGTGAGCAGGGGGTGATGAAGGCCCCAAATTCCCTTGGGGCACCCCCACGGGTGACGCTCGTCCCCCCCTCATTGTCTCTCTGTCCCCACAGCCATCGTTACCGACGTCTTCCAGGGCTCCATGCGCATCTTCACCAAAAAGCTGCCGCACCCCGACCTGGTGAGGATGCAGAGGGGCAAAGGGGGAGTTTCTCAGCCAACTGGGGGCTGTGGTCATGATTTGGGGCGGGCTTGGCCACTAAACCCTGGCCAGACGCTCTCTGTGAACCCCTCTGCCCTCCCCATTAGGGAAGAGAAAAGAGAAGAAGGGAGAGAGAATTTATGGGTTGGAAAGTAAAATGAACAGGTTTAATAATACAATAATACTGATACTACAGGATAACAATGTAAATAGGAAATAATGGAATATAGACAGATATGTGCAAATATAGATACAAAACCAATAGAAAATCCTCCCCCAATGACGATGACATCCCCAGAGGCTCTGGGAGCACTGGAAAAGTCCCAGTGTGGACCCAGCAGCAGTGGGAGCTGATGCAGGAACACAGGGCTCAGGATCAGAGGCAGGTGAAGCAGCAGGGTCTGCTGGGCCTTGGGCCATTGCAGGGGTGGAGAGGGAAGGAAGGGTCCAGGATGGAAGGGTCCAGACCCTGGTGATCCCTGGGCTTTGCACTGAGGCTGGCGTGTGTGGGATGCAATCCCTGGTTGGGCAGGTTTGGGTCTGCTCCTCCTGTAGGTGCAGACACGGCCCCCATGGTGAGACAGTGGCCTTGCCGTGTTTCCATACCATACAAGCGCTATCACTTGTAGCAGTCCACACTGTAAAACCGTGCTGCTGGTTTCACCAAGTTCAGCCACTGAGAAGAGACCGAGCTGAAAGTAGAATCACTGAATAGAAAACCAGTTGTGTTTAACTCAGCCCCCCTGCTGACCCCTGTGTCCCGCAGCCGGCCGAGGAGAAGGCGCAGCTGCTGCAGAACGCAGAGTACCAGGAGATGATGGTGGAGTCCACCTTCATGTACCTGACGCTGGACCTCCCCACCGCCCCGCTCTACAAGGACGAGAAGGAGCAGCTCATCATCCCCCAGGTGCCCCTCTTCAGCATCCTGGCCAAATTCAACGGCGCCACCGAGAAGGAGTACAAGACCTACAAGGAGAACTTCCTCAAGCGCTTCCAGCTCACCCGCCTGCCCCCCTACCTCATCTTCTGCATCAAGCGCTTCACCAAGAACAACTTCTTCGTGGAGAAGAACCCCACCATCGTCAACTTCCCCATCACGTGAGTGGCACGGGACCCCCAGATGGGGAGGGCTTGGGGTCCGCAGCTCCCTTTCCCTGTGGCAGTTTGGGGGTTTGGAAGCATCTGGGAGAGGTTTGTAGGCATTTGGAAGGGGTTGGAGGCATTTTAGTGTGTCTGTAGGCATCTAGAAGGGGGTTGAAAGGACCTAAGGGGGATTTGGAAGCATCTGGGGGGGTGCTGAAGGCGTCTGGGGTGGGTTTGTAGGCATCTAGGGGAGGTTGTAAGCATCCAGGAGATGTTTGTAGGTATCTGCAAGGGGTTTGTAGGCATCTATGGAGGGGTGTGTAGGCATTTTGGGGTATCTGTAGGCATCTAGGAGGGGTTTGAAAGGACCTAAGGGGGATTTGAAAGCATCTAGGGGGTGCTGAAAGCATCTGGGGTGGGTTTGTAGGCAGCCAGGAGAGATTTGGAAGCATCCAGGAGGTGTTTGTAGGCATCTACAAGGGGTTTGTAGGCATCTGGGAGGGGTTGTAAGTGTCTAGGATGGGTCTGGGGGCATCTAGAAGGGGCTTGTAGGCATTGGAGGGGGGAGTTGTAGGCATCCAGAAGGGGTTTGGGGGCATCCAGGAGGGATTTGTAGGCATCTGCAGAAGGTTGTAAGCATCTAGGAGGGGGTCTGAAAGAATCTAAGGGGAATTTGGAAACATCTGGGAGGGGTTTGTAGGCATTTGGAAGGGGTTGTAGGCATTTTGGGGTGTCTGTAGGCATCTAGGAGGGGGTCTGAAAGAATCTAAGGGGAATTTGGAAACATCTGGGAGGGGTTTGTAGGCATTTGGAAGGGGTTGTAGGCATTTTGGGGTGTCTGTAGGCATCTAGGAGGGGTTTGAAAGGACCTAAGGGGGATTTGAAAGCATCTAGGGGTTGCTGAAAGCATCTGGGGTGGGTTTGTAGGCAGCCAGAAGGGGTTTGTAGGCATTGGAGTGGGGATTGTAGGCATCCAGGAGGGGTTTGGGGCATCCAGAAGGTGTTTGTAGGCACTGGGGGGTTGGAAGCACCCAGGGGGGGTAGTGTGTGAGTGTCCCTCAGGGTGCGGGTGTCCCAGGAACGTGGACCTGCGGGAGTACCTGTCGGAGGAGGTACAGGCGGCGCACGCCAACACCACCTACGACCTCATCGCCAACATCGTCCACGACGGGAAACCCTCCGAGGGCTCCTACCGCATCCACGTGCTGCACCACGTGAGTGCCGCCGTCACCCGGCGTGTGCCCCAGTGTCACCCCTCCCGGTGTCACCCCCGGTGTCACCCATGTCCCCCGGCAGGGCACGGGGAAGTGGTATGAGCTGCAGGACCTGCAGGTGACCGACATCCTGCCGCAGATGATCACCCTCTCCGAGGCCTACATCCAGGTGAGGGGCTCTGGGGACAGCAGGGGGGGACACTTGTCACCCCCGCATTGTCCCCGTCACCCCCAAATTGTCCCCGTCACCCCCACATTGCCTCCTCATCCCCAAATTGTCCCCTTGACAGATCTGGAAGCGACGCGAGGAGGACGAGACGAACCAGCA